GGCAGCCGTGGGCACCGATCCTGCTGACGTCCCCAAAACTTCCCGCCCCCATAGACAGGGCAGACCACGCCCCCAGCATGATGTTGCCAGGTCCACCTTCTTCCCAAGCTCCTAACGGGACACGCTGGTGCGGTCCCACCTCCCAGGACTGCTCCTTTCAGGTCCCGCCCCCACAAGCAGTCCTATTTTGTTCTCAGTCGTTAGGCTAAGTCGTTAGGCCCCTCCCCTTTCCCAGCCAGAGCCATTCACCTCCAGTACGGCCCCGCCCCTCTCTCCAGCGGGCCCAGCAGCCCTTCCCCCGCCCCCTCCAGCACTTCTCCGCGGACCTGGGCTTAGCAAATCCTCCGCGGTCCTTAACGCCCCCGCCGTCCCCCTCTAACACGGGCTCCGCGGCCGCCAATCTCACCAGCTTTCGCCAGTTCGCAGAGGACGCCGTCGCCCATTCTCGCCGTTTTCTATCTGCTGTCGTTGGCTGTCGAGGCCTGGCAGTGCCTCGGACTGAGGCTGTCTGTCCTCGGCCGCCTTTGCGGCCGCAGCTCGGCCCGCTGCGACCGCCGCCATCGCCGTTCGTCCTCTCACTGCCGACGCAACTGAAGATAGGAAGACCCTCGATTGCCACTTCCGGATTCGGAGACCGGAAACGGAAGCAGAGCCCCCCTAGTAACCAGGGGGCTACTGCCATCTTGGAAGTGGACCCCCACTCTCGGACGAGCTGGGGGGCTGGGCGGGCATTAGGCAGAGGACGACCAATAGGCAGGGTAAAGCATCGAGTTGGGAACCAAGACAACTAATGGGTCGTGGGACTCTAACGCCATGTTGAGTTAGGGTAAAAGGTTGTTTGGAAGACCGAAGTCAAGGTTCCAGGGGTAGGTGAGGACAAGGTGGGGTGCTGCAAACAAAGGTCCCCAGTCTTCCCAGCTGTGTACTTTGCTGAAGACTACGGACCTTTGCCCTCGGAGCAATGTTTCTGTTATCTCTACACTACAATGCCCTTCCTTCATTAAACTGCTGTTCTCATCTGTGAAAACTTTGTGCTAGAGTTCTGCATGTCCAAACAGCAGCTCAAGCCTGTGGGTCATTGCATCTCTTCCTGAAAGAAACGTATGCACTAGACTAACAGACTGTAGCATGTTCCAGACACATTAGCCCCAGGCCCTGACTGTTCCATTGGAGTCACAGCAATGATCAGTAATAATCTAACCAGTTGAAGTGCTTTATTGCACTTAAATAGTAACCTCGGGGAGTACATAGTATCCTTGTTGCCCAGGGCCAACTATGCGGGAAGCTGAGGACCAGAAATGCTACCTCACTGCTTCCAGGATAGTAAGTGGTAGTGCAGTGCGCGGTGGATAGTAAGTGGTAGTGTTGTGTGCTGTTCCAGCAGTTGAACCCTGCTTCCAGTGACTTTAAACACCAGGCCAGGGATTCTCTGTGGTGCCAGGTTGTCTATTGGTCCAGGAAACATTCACTGGGGATTCAAAAAGTCCAAACTATTTTCACAATACTTTGTTAATTTCATTCTCTGGTGTGTTTATTGTAGAATTATCTAGAGGCTACCTGATACAGGTAGAAGAAAATTCTTTGGGCCTCTTCCACTTTTTAGAGTGTAAGAGGATCATGACAGCAAAAGTTTGAGAATTGACAAGTTTTTAACCTCCACACTGTTATTTATTTGTTGTGGGGGAACTGAGATGTTTAGTCTTACCCCTGAATTCTACCACCAGTTGTCTCCCAGGGGAGAGAGTGCAGGTGTGGGGGAGAACTGTCCCCAATTGAGAACCATTGTTTGGGTTGCAGTACCTTTGATATCTTCCTCGGTAGCTCCTAGCACCTCCGTGCCTATTGGCTGTCTCCATCTAGATGTGCTGTAATCTCCCCAAGGCAGCCTCATGATTGTGGGGCTGTTTATGACTTCCCTCACTGTCACCACTCATTCCCCACAAGCAGAAACAAACCTTGCCTATCCCCTAGGCCCATGCACACTCACACCTCTCAGCATGACCCACCTCCACTTCCCCACAGGATCTTATTTACCCCTTATTTTCAGCTAGCCTTTGTGACACAGTATGTCTACTGCTGTGATTCCAGCCCCTAGCCAGATCTGACCCAGATGGAGGAAGGGGGTATCACAACTCAGGTGTGTAAGCTTTAAGGAAGAGCTTTCACTTGGGTGTCACCAAAGTGGCATGACTTGGGTCTGGCACATAATAGCTGCTTTTTTGAAATTTAAACGAGCCTCATTAATTTATTATGACAAGTTTGTTTGCTTTCGCCCTATAATAGCTGCTCTTGAAGCCCTGCTGAATCTTGTCAATCTGAATTGATGCTTCTCATTGCCCTTCAGCAGGCTCCCCAGTCTTCATTTACCTGGGCAGCCAGGTAAATCCAATAAATAGTTTTTTGCCCTAGACTTGACTTGTTTCATCTCACAGATGATAGCTTCTTTCAACTTAGAGCAATTGGATGATTTCCAGTCAGTTTTTCAAAAAGATCTAGTTTTATTGGAAAGACAGACTTACACAGAGGGAGAGACAGAAAAATCTTCTGTCCACTGGTTCACTCCCCAAGTAGCCACAATGGCCAGAGCTGAGTCAATCCGAAGCCAGGAGCCAGGAGCTTCTTCAGGGTCTCCCACATGGGTGCAGGGTCCCAAGGCTTTGGGCCGTCCTCCACTGCTTTCCCAGGCCACAAGCAGGGAGCAGGATGGGAAGCGGAGCAGTTGGGACATGAACCAGCTCCCATATGGGATCTCAGCATGTGCAAGATGAGGATTTAGCCACTGAGTCCTTTTAAGGGCAACCTCGTGATGTCCCCTTTTGCAAGGTCTTTGTTTTTCCTAGCTACCCTTCCTGCCAGATATGGCTGTGCTGATTCTACCCAAGGGAAGTCGGCCAAGGAGCTTGTGGAAGTTCAGGCCCATTACAAGAAAATAAGTGGGAAGGATGTCCTGTTTCCCCAGTTTGCTTTCACATTTCTTGGGACATGGAAGCCATAGCACTTTGGAGTCAGAAGCTATCATGAAACTGCTTACAAGAACATAACAGAGGGACCAGTGTTGAGGTATAGCAAATTAAGCCTCCTCCTGTGAAGGTGGCATCCCATATGGCCACCAGTTTAAGTCCAAGCTGCTCCACTTCTGAGCTAGCTTCCAGCTAAAATGCCTGGGAAAGCACTGGAAGATGGCCTAAGAACCTGTGTCCCTGCACCCATTGTGGGAGACCAAAGAGCAGCTTCAAATTCCTGGTTTCAGCCTTGCCCACTGTGACCATCTGGGAAGTGAACCAGTAGATGGAAGAATCTGTAAGTCTGCCCTTCAAATAAACAAAAATATATTAAAACAGAACAAAAACAGGGCAGAGTAATATAAGCACAAACCACCACTGCTGGATTTCAGTACACAATCACTTAGGCTTGCCTCTGTGAATTTGCCTGGTACCACCCAGCACACCTTTAGTCTATCCTCGGCTTTGCTCAATTCAGAAGACAAAGAAAATCAAAGCCTCAACTGTCCCCACTGCCTTTCAAACCACCACATCCTTCCCAGGGTCACCTCATCCTTGCCTTTCACAAAAAAACCTTCCAGCTCTATCAATCTAGTCCTATGTATTAAAGGACTGACCGCTCAATCGACTCAGGTATCCAGAACCTACTCTCATATATTCCCTCTCCAGTGCCCAGTTGGACATGTGACCACAGTGGACCTCTTGATCACATCCCCCAACCCCTGCTTCCATCAGCCTTCCAATGTCTCCCAAGCTGCCCCATGTTTCTGGGTTCACCTCCCGTTCTGCCTGTCAGCTCCTCTAGCATGCCCTGTCTGCCTCGGCTCTGTGTGCCAATACATGTGCAGTCATCAGATGCCTTTTTCAGCCATGTCATATCCCCGGCCCAATTCCAGTGCACTCCTATCCACTGAGTGCCAATGTGAAGTCCTCCAAGGTCTCCTCAATCACTTCAGCTTTGCCCCCACCCCCACAAGACTTGCAGTCAGGCTTTACACTTTAGACTTTTTAATAGTTCATACAGCGATTATGGTGCATTCAGGAACCCAACCCCCCAAACCCCATGAGGAGGGCTCCCACCCCCGACCCCCCACCCCATTTGAGGGCCCCAGGGCTTAGGGTGGAACAAAGGGAGGTAACCACCCAAGGGGACTGACCCCAAAGACTGTCCCTGCCCTGCCTCACCCCCAATCAGGAGTTATGGGGCACCAAGTGGGCACACACTTCTACATGCCCCCTCTGTCCCTGCTTGTGCACATACATACATTATGGCTCCTTGCTGAGTTGGTCAGTTCCTGGCAGGGCCCCTACTCAACAGCACCAAGTGGGAAGGGGGAAGAAGGGCTGGGTGGGGGAGACCCTGAGAAGGAAGGAGGCCCCAGCTACAGGACTGGAGAAGAGTGGGTCCCTCCACCTTGTCCATCTTGCAGAGTCTCCAGTACTCCCCATCCCCCTGCAGCTGGGGATGGCAGGCAGGGGTAGGAAGGCGTTTTGCCGAGGCATGCTTTCCTATAGCCAATCCCAGGGTCTGATGAAGGTCAGGGTTGTGAATAGGGGCTATGTCCCTGCCTGAGAGGCTGGGAGCGGGGCTTCATTGCACAAAATACTGTGGGAGGGCCACACACAGGGGGTGGGGCCCAGCCAGTCTGTATACAGAGATATTGCATTTAAAAAAATGAAAACCTCATTTAAAATAATAAAAAAAAAAATAACAATGAATGAAACAAACCAAAAAAAGGCCCACATAACATGAGGCAGGTGTGGTAGCAGGAAAGCAGGCAGGGGACACTCAGACCCAAGGCATTGCCACCATCTTGTCTGAATCGAGATCCCCAGCCTGGGCTAGTTCCGGACCCCTGGCTGGCCGTGGGGTAGTGGTCCTGGGGGAGGGTACGACGAGGAGAGAGAGGCCTGGCCTCAGTGTGGGAGGCTGGCACGGCCATGCTGTCCGCCGGTAACTACCAAGACAAAGAAAAAGACAGACAGACAGACCAGGCATAGGAGTGATGAGAGCTTTGTTAGCACCCAGGAGACAGGCCAATGGGTGGATTGACAGGCCAATGGTCGGATGTTCGCACAGGCAGCAAGGGACAAGTGGGCAGGTAGGCATGGCTCAGGCAGGTAGGGCAGGCAGCAAGCAGGGAGGATGCGGTTGGGGGCTGCCCTGTGAGGGGTGTGGCATCCCTCCAGCTGCTGCCTGCTGGGGCCTCAGTCTGTGGCTTAGAATCGGCTTAGAACTCGGTGTCCACCACGTGGAAAGCTGGCCTGCCTGCAGGGGGAAGCAGAGCGGATGGCTGTTGGTAGGCAAGCAGGTAGATAGGTAAGACAGGGAAGAGAGGGCATCATACCTACCCGAGTCAGGCATTGACGAAGACCGAAGATTGGCTTCTTTTTGTAGCTGGATCTCCTTTAGTGCAAATATGGAAGTAGCTATGGGTGAAGGAGACACAGAAATGGTGGATGAGCCAAGCACCATCTAGAACCAGCACCCCTGCAGCCTCACTTATGGCAAACTTTGTTTCTTTTTTTCCATTATGGATTGAGTAGGATTTAGCTCCCCAAACTCATGCCTGTGCTTCAACTGCAAAGTGTCTTTTGCTGAGGGTTGATGGATTAAAGGTAGAGACTTGATCTTACTATGGTGTCTGAGAGGTGGGCATGCTGGGAAGTATTTAGGTTACTGGAGGCCTGCCTAATGTGAGATGGTGGGTTATTTAAGCTGAGTTCATCCAGTTTTCTGTTTCTTGATTATCCTGTGACCGTGTACTCACACTCCCTTAATTAGGCCAGATTATTGGAGGTGCCAGATTTTGAGCCGTGAAATCTCGAAAATGTAAGCTAAAATAAACCTCTGCCTTCTCACGAAACTCCTCTTAGGTATTTCAGTTAAGGTAACAACAAGCTCATACATGAGCTTTCTGAAGGAGCCTCAAGTCTACTTCACAAAGGACATGTCTGCTTCAGGATGTTCAATCTATCTGCATGTATCATTTGAAAACTTTCATGAGAGGAAAAAAACTGAAAATCAAGGAATGGTATGCTCATCATAAACACAACCTGTCACCCAGAGTGAGTCTGCCCTTCCCATAGAAGTGGCAGACAGAACCCTACACAGTGCACCTAACTGTCCCTAGCAGCCCTATACCCCATGGTCCCTGCACCAGCTAGTCCATCCCGATGCTACTCACTGTCAGGAAGTTTGTGGATCCGCTCCCCTAGACTGAGGAATAATGGATGTTTCATGGCATCATCTGCGGAGATCCGATTTCGACCCTCAAACTGAATTGCAGAGGGGAAATATTAGCATTTTCAACCAGCAGGCCCCTCTTCCTGCTGGCCTCAGATCCTGACCTTGGGAGTCCAATTTCTCACCTCAGGAATCTCCTACCCACCATGTCTGGCCCAGGAAGGTTGTCTCACCTGCAGCAGCTTGTTGAGGAGGTCAGCCCCATCACTGTCAAGTCTGCAACAAGGACAAGGGGACCTGCTTTATACTGACTGAGTATTCTGGCCCCAGCACCCACCCAGCCAGCCACCAGCCTCACCGGGGTGCATGGCTCAAAAGGGCCTCAGCACGGTACTTGGGGTAGTTGTATGTCTTGAATTCCTCATTGGACAGGATGCCTGGCCATGTCTCCTCAGTTGGGGTTCCTGGCAGGGAAAAAGTGTCACCCAAAACATCTTGCAGGTCCTTCCTGAATGCCCTCACAACTCCTAGGGTTCATGTCTCCTCACCCAAGATGCGAAAGATGAAGTGCAGCTGTTCCTCTACTGTGGAGCCCGGAAAGAGGGGCCGGCCTGTGGCCATTTCATAGAAGATGCAGCCCACACCCCTGAGCGTGGAAGACAGTGAATGGGAGAGGTAATAAGCTGGGTGGCTGTTGTGACCAAGACAACTCCTCCAATGCATGGCCCCAGCCACACTTCCACCTGTCCTCACCACATGTCAATCTGAGTAGAGTAGTCTGTAGACCCGAGCAGGATGTCAGGGGGCCGGTACCACAGTGTGACAACTTCATTTGAGTAGGTCTTTGTGGGAATTGACTTGGCTCGGGCCAGGCCTAGGAGGCAGAGAGAAGCGGCATCCGAAATGAGAAGGTTGCTGGCAAACTCTGGGGAAGAGTATAGTTGGGAACAAGGGCAGCTTAGGCAAAGTATGGTGAGGCTCAAGAGAAATGAGACTAGGCAGTCATGGGGAATGAAGAGGCTAACAGAGTAAGGCTAGGAATCAAAGGGAAGAAGCAAGAGGCTGGCAGTACCGAAGTCAGCTAGCTTGAGCTCTCCCCTCTCATTGATGAGCAGATTCTGAGGCTTGAGGTCTCGGTGTAGCACCTTCTGCCGGTGGCAGTAGGCCAGGCCACGGAGCAGCTGGAACAGGAACAGCTGAGGACCCAGCAATAGCAGGCAAAGGTCAAAGAGTTATCTACCAGCCTGACCCCCAGCAAGCATCGCTCCCATCCCAGAACTTTGTCACACAAAAAGGGATAGGGTCCCAAGTACCCTCCAAGGGCTCCCAATAACAACAATTAAAAAAAGCCAAATGGGGAAAGTCCATTTCTTGAAGATTTGTGGGGTGCAATGGGGGGGCCCTGGTGCCCCTGCTTCTAGCCCCACACCCACTTTCACGTTGTGCATGTTGATGATGTTCCCACAGTCATCCAGGTACTGCTTCAGGTCCTTGTCCTGAGGACATAAAAGGTAGGACAGGAACAAGGGTCACATTCTGTCACTCTTAGCTGTCTCTCTACTCCCCTGCAAGTCCCACTGCCACCCAACCTTACCAGATACTCAAAGACAAGCGTGAGGGACTTATCCGTGTGGATGATGTCATGAAGTGTGACGATATTGGCATGTTTGAGATCCTTGAGCAGGGACACTGCAGAGAGCAGAGGAGTGGGATGGAGGAGTCAGGGGCCCACCCCCAGGAGAGGTGAGGACAAGGACTGGACACAGAGGATGAGCCCAGGCTTTCCTTCTTTTCCTGAGCACTCCAGGGTAATGGCTCTCAGCCATCAATTGACCCACCCTAAGGCAGAAACATGTGTCTTCACGTTCCAGATGGGAAATAAGGTTCAGGGATTTTCACAACCAATTTTTGGTTTCTGGGAAGGGGTCCTGCTCTAGTGTTCAGTACATAGGCCTGCAGCACTGTGTGAAACTGAGTTTGCATACTCAATTTGCAATGCAAATTCATTTCATGTGACACTGTGACTATCAACTTTTGGAGCAAGTGAATTGGTGAGGAGTATCGAGGGTGCTGTTAGAACCAAAGCCAGCACCCTGGTTTGCAATTCATTCACCTTTCCTGCAAGCACAAATGGATTCCTGGGGACCCTGATTATTACTCAGCTATATGGTTGATGGGCATTCTCATAAAGGCCTGTGTGTTGGAAGGGGAAGTCCCAGAACTCCATCTCTGTTTACGTCATGGAATAAGGAAGATGTATCATGAGAGCCTGGGAAGCCTGGGGCAGGTGGCCCAGAACTCCAAACCTTCCCGGATGGCCGTGCAGGGTGCTCCCTCTTCATGTTCCAGCCTGATCTCCTTCAGTGCCACAAGGTTGTCCGTGAGTTTGCTTTTGCCTTTGTAGACGGTGGCATAGGTACCCTGGGGTACGAACAAGTGTACCAGGAAAAGCGTGGTGAGGATATTGGGAGCTCCTGCTGACCCTCATCCTCTCCAAGGATCTCCTGGCTGTCTCTCACCTCACCCAGCTTGTCCAGCTTGATGTAGGTCTCCAATTTCCCAAAGCCAATCTCGGACTGTGGGATAAAGTAGGCAGACTAAAGCAGGCTCAGGGGAGGGGACAGGAAGAACAGAAGGGAAGAGATCAGGAACAGAAGGCGCTCACCAGACTGACACGGCGGAGACGGCGGCTGAGGGGCTTGTCAAAGATGGGGCTATTGAGGGTCAGTTTCTCAAGGTAGCCCTCAGGCAGCCGGATATCGGCTGGTAGCGATAGGCGCTTGTTGATATCCTGAAAGCAAGATGGGAGAGAAAGGGACCATGGTCTCCACTTTCCTACTTCCATTCCTCTTTTCCAGTTCCCCCATCACCTGGACAGTGAGCTAAGCACCTCTGTGGAGATCTTGCGTGGAGGGTGGTTGCGCAAGCGCACACGCACTGGAGACTGCACCTCATCCGAGGACGTGGCTGAAGCCTGGTCACTTTCCCCATCAGACCCCATCTTCAAGTCCTCATGCACGATCTCTGGTGGATTGGAAGGGGGGGGTACACCAGAGAGGGTGAGGAATCAGGATGTCCAGGAATGCCCTCTCCCATGCAATACTTTCTCTCATCATATGTGAGCACACATGGTCCCTGGTGCAGCCTGCAGTCCCTCAGGAAGAAAGTGGCAGGGCCAAAGGGATCTTCAGTAGGTCCAGGACACACTGAATGGGGAATGGCACAGGCAGAGGGACAAGAGTCACACAGTGCAATGCCCCATTCTAGGGTGAGTTGAAAATGCAGCCAGCCCAGGGCTAGTGGGCAGGTAGTAGCAGAGGTGGTCAAACTCTCTGGAAGGCAAGTGCCCTGCATAGGGAGGTGCTAGGAGGCCTGAGGAGGCCGCTCAGGGTGCAGAATAACAGACTAAGCCCCTAGCGCAGCTGCAACAGGCCACAGACTTCCTCCCTTGGGGCCTGGCACAAAGCCAAGGACAGGAACATAGATGGACAGACAGAATGCTGAGAGAGAATGGGAAGAGAAATAGAAAGGACAGCTCAAGGGGAGGTCAGGGAAAGGGAAGAAAGCAGGAATGATACAAGATTAAGAGGAACTGGGCTGGAAGGCAGCTGCTGGTAACCAGCCTGGGGTGCAGGAGACAAGGGCTAGTTTGCAGACACACCTGGTGCAGAGCTGAGTGGGCCCCGTCCAGAGCGAGGTTCTCCAGGGGCAGTACGTGTGGGGGCCTCCCCAAGGTCACTGCCACCACCACCACCACTTTCATCTAGGCCTATCTGTTCTGGGGCACCATTGGTCTTGTCTATGCCTCGGCCCCCTCGGAGTGTCATTGACAGCTGCCGTTTGATCTTCTTCATCCGATCCATGGCGACCTGAGCAGGGTGCAAGGCTTCTCCATTAGTATTTGCTTGCCCACTGGGAGGCCCCTGAACCCACAAAAACCTATTGGGGAACACCAACATGAACTTAAGTCAGTGACCACCCAACCACCAAAGACCCATGGCACCACTCAGCAGTCCTGGGAAACCGGTATGGCCAGGGACCCTTGTCAGTGCCCATCATCCCACAGGCAAGTCCTGGTCCCTGCTCCTGAAGGGCTCACCTGAGTACTTAGACTTGGGTGGCTAGCTGAAGGCAGGGGCCCACCAGATTGACTGATGTTATCTGGGGTGGCAGCCTCATTGTCAGAGCAGGGGGCTCCACAGTTGGTATTGTCGGGTGCAGCGGCAGTAGTGGACTCAGGTCTGGCTGGTAAATGGGGCTGGCCAAGAACCATGGACCCATGGCCCTGGGCAGGCCCATAAAGCACCATATTCCGCTGGCACCAGCCCCACATCACCCCAGCTGCCAAGGCAGACTGCTCTCTTGTGGCCAGAAGGACCTCCTGGCTCCCCCAGCAACCACTGTCAATGAAGCCTAATGGGCCCAACCACTGTCTGCCCATGTAGGGGGAGCAGGGAGGCATTTACTCAGATCCAACCACTGGACTTAGACTACCCACTTCCATTTCAATGTAGCCCAGCTGTCCTCAGGGCCGTTAGAAATGTTTGGCCTAGTAGGCACCTGTAGACCCAATCCAGATTTTCATAAACCATATAAACTGTACTAGAGTCCCCTTATCACTCAAAGCAAATGGCTCAGTCCTCAATGTGACCACTTGTCCTGCTACCTCACTACTCCCTGACCATTTCTGATTGTTCTGTAACCAAACCCAGTAGTCTCATTTCAGGGCCACTGCACTGGCTGTTCCTGGTACCTGGAAAACTTTCCCTCAGATTTTAAAATAATTCACTCCTGAACCTTTCAGATGTATTGATCTAATCACAAGTTTCTTACACAGTTTCCATGAATAACTATGTACAATCTCCACCATCTTGGGGCCAGCACCATGACAAAGTAGGTTGTACCTTTGTTTGTGGTGCTGGCATTCCATGTGGGCGCCGGTTCGAGTCCCAGCTGCTCCACTTCCAATCCCCTTCCTTACCAACGTGCCTGTGGAAGTAGCAAAAGATGGTCTAAGCCCTTGGGCTCCTAAACCCACATGGGAGATTGAGAGAATGCTCTCGGTTCCTGACTTCGGACTGGCCCAGCTCCAACTGTTGCAGCCATTTGGGGATTTAGCCAGCAAATGGAGGATCTCTCTTTTCTCTCTCTCTTCCTCCTTTTCTGTAAATCTGCCTTTCAAATAAAAATGAAATAAATCTTTAAAAAAGTGTTTTTATTTGAAAGGCAGATTTAAAAGGAGAGAAAGAGATAAATTCTATCTACTGATTAACTTCCCAAATGGCCACCACAGCTGAAGTTGAGCCAATCCAAAGCCAGGAGCCAGGAGCTTCTTCGGGGTCTCCCACACCGGTGCAGGGTCCCAAGACTTTGGGCCTTCCTCTACTGTTTTTCCAGGTCACAAGCAGGGAGCTGGATGGAAAGTGGAATGGCCAAGACTGGAACCAGCGCCCTTATGGGATGCCAGTGCTAGCAGGCAGAGGATTAACCTGTTGAGCCACTACAGTGGTACAAAATAAATATTAAAAAAAAAATTCTCAACCACCTTGAGTTTGCTTATCCTACCAAGTATCTCCTCAGAACTGACTTTCTCCTTAGAAGCAGTACATTTCCTGGTGGGTTTCTTTATTCTTAACTGCTTGTCTCTTCACTGGTACGACTAGATGGCCAGCTCTGCCAGGATCGAGATGTCTTTGTGTTTAGGTCACAGTTATGTCCTGAGGACCTAGAATAGTGACTGACGCAGCAGAGGCTCCAAAGCGTGCCTGGCAGAAATGGTTCAAGCAGGCAGCTGAGGGCCCAGGGGCCATCTCTGCTGAGGTCATGTCTACTACTCCTGAACAAGGCCAAACAAGGGTGGTACAAAACCTCAGCCATCCATGGGAAGATGACCTAAATGGGTTGCGAAAGGACTTAGGGCCACCCCCAGGGCTTGGGCTGGCTCTCTGCTACTTCCTCTGAGGCACTGGGCCAGCAAGGAGGGGGAAAGACCTGGCCCAGGAACCATCTGCACTCACAGTAGGACTTAAGATGGCCCTGGTCCAAGGGAAGTAGAGCTAGATAGGAGGTAGCTGGGACTGGATTTGAGCAGAGAAACGGGTCAGCTGTTACCCTGAAACCAGGTGCTTAGCTAAACAGTTCCCACCACTTCTCCAGCCTGGTTGAATTCAACACCCTCCCTTCTGCCTCAAGGCACAGAAGGACTTACCCGGAGGGTGAGGAGGGGGCCCATCTACACAGAGTCCAAGATAACAAACCAATTCTGGGCCTAAGGCAGAGGAGCACCCAGCAACCCTGCTGCTTTTCCCTGTGTGGTAGGGACTGGAAGAAGGGCTGGGGAAACTGAGTAGGGCTGAGAGGACCACGGGGAGAGAGCTAGGACCAAGGATTCCAAGCAGAAACGCCAAGGTTTGCTAAACGTGTTGCAAAGTTCAGTTGGGGGGGGGTGGATTTTAGGATGACTGGGATACACAATATCTACCAAGCAACACTCCCAATAAGGGGCGTGCACCCTGGACAGCTTCGAGGCACAGAGATAACCTAAACAAAAGCTTTCAGATATTTTCTTTTCAGTTGTCTGAGTTTTTTGTATTTCAGAATAAGAAGGGAGAAAGAAAGCAGACATACAATTTCAACCCCCCCAAAAAGGCTACATGTCTTTCTTGGTCCCTTCTCACCACCTCTCACCGCACAGACCATTGAGAACACACTCCACCACCTGCACTTCTCACTGCACACTTCTCTCCTTCTGTCCTGACCTCGTCGGCACACAGCAGACCCTCCAAAAGGCCTCGCCATACCCTAACTGCTTGTAGCATCCATGAGCTTCCAGCTTACTTCCTGTTCCCGTAGGCATGCAAAGCTCTACGGTAGCATACTCTAAGCCCCTTCCAAGAACTGCTTGCCACAGCATGGTTGGGTACTTTTCTGGCCTGCCCGCTGATGCCCCCCAATGAACAAAGCGCTCCTCCCACATGATTCTGCTCCTTAATATCATCACACCTGGGGTGCTCCACAACTGACCTGCAGGAGTACTCACTGCGCCTTCAGACTGCTCTGCATCCCATTAGCACGAAATGAGCTGGTTGTGTCCGGTTAGCCCTAGTCACTGCCACACATTCCGTTCCTCCCAGGACCCTATCACAGGCAGAACCTTTACCTTGACCCCTATTATCACATGCTGGGCCTCACACAGTGCTGCTCTGTAGTTACTCAGCCCTATTCCTCAGGGACGCACAAACATACCATTCTGTAACAGCTTGACCCTGATTAGTGCACAAAGTTCTTCTTTCAACCTTGACCTTCATTAGCACATTCTTTAGCTCTCCCGGGCTCTAATCTGCTTTAGCACATCCAGACCACCACACAGTCCCATCCTCTATTTTTGCCTCTGCTCATTCATACTCATTAACCCCTGTTGGTTCACACTTGGGTCCCTTCATAACCCTGCTCCTCATTTTTACACACTAGGGGCCCCTCCAAAGCTCTATCTCGTATCAGCAATCCCTTGAGCCTCCACACATTATAGTTCTCCACGGACACAAATACAGTCTTCAAGATGTTATGATGCTTACAACACATTCCAGAACTCATACTGTTCTGGCTCTCCCTCTGCTGACATAACATATTAAGTGCCTCTAAGAAGGGCCAGAGCTGTGACACAGCAGGGTGAAGCGGCCACCTGGGACACCCATATCCCACATGGGTACTGGTTCAATTTCTGGCTGCTCCGTTTCTCACCCAGCTCCCTGTGACTGTGCCTGGGAGAGGTGCAGAGGGTGTTCCACATGACACCCCTGGGAGAAGTTCTTGACTTCAGCCTGACCTGGCCAGGCCGCTGCAGCCATTTGGAGAATGAACCAGCAGATGGAAGATCTCTCCATCTCTCCCTCTGTAAATGCCTTTCAAGTAAGTCTTTTTTTTTAAGAGCCTCTAAGCTCTAAACTGACACTAGCAGTCACTAGAACTTCATTAATTCCTTGCATCTTTTTAGCTAAATCCTGCATTCTCTACTCTTCACAGACACTCTCAAGGACCCTGATCCGCAGTGCACTAAGCCCCTCACAGTGCTAACACAGTTCCTTCTCCACTGCTCCCACCCCCACATCTACCTGGGCCTGCAAAAGTTCATGAAAAGATAAGCCTTCCATGAACTTCTGGAAACACACACAATTCTGATATCTGATGGTACAGGGTCAGGTCTTCATGACCCACTCAGTAGATCCATCTGCCACTCTGCCCCCATTAGCACAGATTGTACCTTATGCTATCCACACCTTTCAATACCACAGGTACGCACCCTCCGCAGCTGTGACCACCCAGTCCCCCATCAGCTACTCTGCACTTGGGTCTCTCCAAGGCCTGTCCTTTATGAGTACACCCCAGGGAGAAGCAAACATTACCACATACTGACAGAAGACTGGCGGAAGGGGGGCATCAGTGCCCGAGTTCCACTAGCACACTTTTGGGGACTTCCACCATTCCTACTCATCATGACACACTGCAGCTTTCTACGAATGTGGCCTCCACTAGCAAGTCTCACAACTGTCCCCTGATACCCTAGCCCTGTTATCAGAGACCCCGTGGGCGCTTGCCATCCTGCATCCCTCTTCCAGGAACACACAGCAGGCTTCAGACCTTACCCAGCCCTAAGGCATTTTTAGCACATGCTTGCACCCCTGCAGAGGTCAAGTCCCCATTAGCAAAGCTCCAGCCTTTCACCACTCTGCCACCATTTCCAAACTCTCTGGTCCTTAGACCACCCCTATAGTTCTCACAGCACTCCACATCCCTAGCTGCCAGGGCGGCCCCAGGGCGGGGCCAAGGTCAGGGAGGCCCCAGATGACCCCCTGTCTTAGTGCATTCTGGGAAATTCGTTGAGGGGAGGGAACCCCTGCCAACGCTACAGGCCAAACCCTTGGGCACAGCCCGGGGTCGCATTGGTTCCATGAGGCGCAGCCCCCACCCCACGTCTCGTTTCGGGGACGCGCTCACCGGCGGGGGCGCGCGAGAAACCTCAGAGCCGCGGGGCCGGCGCGGCGGCGCCTGGGGCGGCGGCCTGGCCACAGGCCGCACGACCTCCTTCTCCTCCTGTTCGCCGCAGGCGCCCGTCCCAGTAGTCTTCGGCCATGGCTGCTGGGCCCGGGCCGCCGCCGGCTGAGGAGGAGGAGGCGGCGGCGGCGGCGGCGGTGGCTGAGGCGGAGGCGGCGTCCCGCTCAGCCGGCCATGAGCTTGGCCGCTGTGGGCAATGCCCCCGGGCTCCTCGGCACCGACTCGAATCCGAGTGCTCACGGCGACTCCCGGGTCAGAGCCGACTGCTCACAGAGACGCGGATCCCAGGGCCGAACAGGCAACGGCCCAACCGCCGCGCGCGCCGCGCTCCACGCATGCGCACGCACGCGCTGCACAGGGCGAAGCGGAGAGGAGGGGACTCACCTCGGACTGCATGTACCAAAAGGCTCGTCTGTAGCGGGAGGAGGTGCGGCCATCGCGCACCCACAGAGGAATGTGGCGTGAGCCCGGGAACGGCGCCAGCGCCAGAGGGACAAGTGTAGAGATTGCTTAGTACTAGGTTCGGATCTTGCCAGAAGTCGGCTCGCGCCGAGGTCAGCAACAGCCAGTAACCAGGCGTGCCAGTCACCACTCGTTCCCCCTATTCGGTCTCATTTGGTACACCCCATGGTGGTAAACGGGGAGTTTTGCTAGATGAAAGACAAATGAGGTTGTCAGTTTTGGTCCCTTGAGGTGCTCCGGGAGGCTAGAATTTTAAAGGTTCCTGAGAAGATGACTTTTCTAGGACAGGCGGCCTGGATAATGATTGCCTAGCACCTTAGGCAGGACAGGCTAGCCCCGCCCTGCTGCTGCCTCCACCGCTAGCTCCCTCTCCACTGTGAACGCTGGCAGCCCCGCCCTTTGAGGCTGTCCCTCACCCAATGGCGTTGACTGCCTGTAGTGAGGCAGAGCAAGAATGAAGGGCGTGACTGAGCTTTTTGGCCCCAGTGCCCACTGCCTGCAAGTTTCTGATTGGTTTTCACCCTCAGGGCAGGGCAGGGGGCGTCCTTTTTGTTCTACGCCCTTCTCTCACTACCGATCACAGAGTCCCCCAGATGATTAGTCAAAAGCGTTCAGTGGACTTTGTTCCGCCTCTATTCGCTCCCTCAGCTCTTTAACAGGTCTCTCAGAGCAAAGTCCAAGTTCAAATGACAGGAAAGAGGCAGCCCCCTTACAGAGGTGGGCTCCGTTACTGCGCAGGCTTGAAACTTTGAATGGGGCGGGGCCTCTCCTTCGCCCCTCCCCTCAGTATTTGCATTGACGCTGATGACTTTTCTGGCGCGGCTCTTCTACCCCTTCTGGTCCGCAACAGCCCTGCCCCCACGGTTCTCCTCTGCGGTTTTTTATTTGTTGGGCGCCGGCTGTGTGCCAGGCACTTCCAGACGCACCTAGTCCATCTCTCCTCTCCTCGCTAGGAAACTCCCACCACGTGCCCAACTTCAGCTGACACGGTGGCAGCCTTCTGAGACAATCCTTAGGCTCCAGAATAGTCATCTCCCTGCCTCTTCTGGGCTTCCCTTTCTGACAGCCTTGCTCTAACCACTAAGACTTTTCAGTAAGCTGCATAGTATGGAAACATTTGACGAAGTCCTTCCCACGGGTTGTGCTATCAGGTGCATGTATGACTTGCCTCCTACCTTTCTTTCACTCCAGCCATCCTAACTTCCTCCTAACTCTTCCTAAGTCAAACAGAATCCAGACGCGGAGACCTCAGCACTTGCCTGGAATGCCCCTGCCCTATACCCACATGCCATGTTTCCTCACCTCTTTCAGTTCCCCCACATCAATGCCACCTGCTGCTTCAGGAAGTCTTCCCTAAACACCCCATGTAAAGTTCCTACCTGTGGGCCCAGCGGCTGAAGTCCTCACCTTGAATGCGCCAGGATCCCATGTGGGCACCGGTTCTTGTCCTGGCAGCTCCACTTCCCTTCCAGCTCCCTGCCTGTGGCCTGGGAAAGCAGTCGAGGACGGCTCAAAGCCTTGGGAGCCTGCACCCGCGTGGGAGACCCGGAAGAGGTTCCTGGCTCCTGGCTTTGGATCGGCACGGCACTGGCCGTTGCGGTCACTTAGGGAGTGAATCATCAGACAGATCTTTGTCTCTTCTCCTCTCTGTATATCTGACTTTACAATAAAAATAAAAAATAAATCTTAAAAAAAAGTTCCTACCTGTATGGCCATTAGATAGACCAGGTCCCTTAGACCTGGTTCTCTTCTTCGCCCTCTGAACTGATGCACTCCTAATGCACAATTTACCATGTTGATTGCCTACTCTGGATCTTAGCCTACATAAACAGATAGGACAAGATTTTTTTCTCCCCATGCTGTGTCTCAGGTGTCTCTAACAATGCCTAGTATCTAACTCTCGCTGAATGTTGGTTGGAATACACAGTTCAAGAGACAAGAGACCTCATGCCACCTTGTGCTCTGCACCTGCTGGATGCAGAGGGCTCAGTCTTGTAACCAGCCACTGCCTGCTGAGCCCTGGGCTATTTGGCCAGTGCTGCAATTGTAGACAAACACAGAACACTGTCCCTGGGAAAGGTTATGAGGAGGCAGATACTGAGACACAACCAGGACATGGATGACTCAGAAGCTGGCTTTCATGGAAGTGGCTATCAGGCTACAAATACAGTGAAATGGAGGAGTGTGGGGGGAAGAGAAGGGCAGCATGGTGGTGTAGCAGAAAAATCCTCTGATGGTACATGTATCCCACATGGGAACTGGTTCTGGCCTTAGTCGCCCAACTTCTTGGTCCAGCTCCCTGCTGCTGGCCTTGAAAGGGAGCAACAGGTGGGGGGTCAAAGCATCAGGACCCTGCACTCACATGGGAGACCCATAGGAAGTTCCTGGCTGTTGGGTTCGGACTGGCCGAGCTCTGGTCATAGTGGCCATATGGGGAGTGAACCAGCTATATAGATCTCTCTCATCTGTAGCTCCTTCAAGTTAGGTAAGTAAATCTCTACAATTTATTCTTTTATTGGAAAGGCAAATTTATACAGAGAGACAAAGATCTTCCATCCGCTGGTTCACTCCCCAAATGACAGCAATGGTTGGAACGAAGCTGATCCGAACCCAGGAGCTTCTTCCACGTCTCCCACATGGGTGCAGGGTCCCAAGGCTTTGGGCTGTCCTCTACTGCTTTTCCAGGCCACAAGCAGGGAGCTGGATGGGAAGTGGAGCAGCCAGGACAAGAACAGGGGATGCTGGCACTTGCAGGAGGACTGACCAATTGAGTCATTGCAGTAGGCCCCATTAAATCTTTTTGTTTTTTTGTTTTAAGTGAAAGGTGCCGTCTGAGTGCTGTGGTGGTGAAACAAAAAGAGAACACAGTGAGGAAAAAGAGGACCCAGTGAGGAAGTTATCTAGAGTATCTGTGAGTGTTGGAATAGAGGAGAAAGGGGGCACAGAAAAGTCTGGGCAAGCCTCGGTGGCTGTAATGGTGGAGTCAGTGGGCAGAGCTATGGAACAACAATAATGGAAAAGTGCTGTGGAGGTACAATGTCTACACCTAAGACAGCTGGTATCATTACTAAACAGGAACCAGAGGGGGCTTTCGTCCTCCATGTCCTGGTATGGAATATGTTGGAACTATGGTAGGATGACGTTACCCAAGCAGAACAGGCCAAGGAAGTAATAAATCCTGAATAATCCTGAATCTCAGGAGTGAGTGGAGTAAGGGGCACTGAGGGGTAGGACCAGAAACTGCTGTCTTGCTAGGTTAAGAAGCAGAGGTACACCTAACATCCTTGGGTGCTAGAAGCCAGGGAGGAAGGAAAAGATATCGAAGTGGCCAGCCAGATCGGTACTGTGAACTGCCTCGGGTGCTGAGCCTAAGCCAAGGCTGGGCAAGGGCAGCTCTCCAGTTCTCATGGGTGATGGGGTATGTCTCCCACTATAGCTGATGCACATCCCCACAACCCCCTTAACCAGCTCTCTTATTCATGGCAAAAAGCCTGAGGATCCAGTCGCAAATGCAGTAAGTACACACAGTCCAGGAGCCAAGAGGCCCAATTGAGGCAGCAAAGGGCCTTTCCTCTAACAATGTGCTCAGCTGAATACTGTTAAGAAAAACTGCCGGGGATGCCTCAAGGCACTGGGAGTTAGCAGAAGCCTCCCCTCCACCTCACCCCCACCAAGAAGGGACACTAAACAGCATCACAGGCATATCCAATGCCGGCAACCAGGACCTGCTACGAATGGATATCCACAAGGACATAAGGTCTCAGTCCACCTGGCAGCCTTGTCCCCACAGCTCTCCTCCCTGAGGAGGAAGTCAGAGTATAGAGGAGGCAGGACAGGTGCCCAACTGAAGAATCAGCGTCATGTGGGCCCAGGGACCTGCTCACTCCAGCCTCCCCAGTGCCTTCACCTCCTCCTAAGCAGAAAGGGCTGGCAGAAGTAGCAATCCCCAGGAAATTGGCACCGGGAGAAGGAGAGCTCAGTGTTTTGGATGACCCTCTGAATCACTCAGCGCCATGAAACCTCTGTCCTCCCTGGAACCAGCAGGGCAGGCCACGTATGGGTTAATTTTTTTTTTTATTAGGATTCAGGTTCCAAACAAGGTAAAAAGCAGTGGCAAGAAGGGTTCGGGATAGGTAGGGGATGACAAAGGAACACCAGGCCTGGCTAGGTGGGCCACTGCCGGAGGCCAACTGGGAACCCGGGGTTGAAAGGGATCGGGAACAGGTTGTCGGGCCGGCCTAAAAGAGCAGACGAAGGTTAGCGGATGGTGTATCGGACATAGGGGACTTCGACGTCCTCGCCGCTCTCGTCGTTACAGCACAGCTCAAGCACCAGCGCTCTCACATGGCGGCCCAGCTTTCGCTTTGACACGCGGCTTACAATCTCTGTCATCCTGAGGAGGGGTAGGGAGTGGGGTCAGAGAGGCAGATGGCAGGACAGGAAGCAGGGGTGGGTGGGTGGGTGGGCAGGCAGTGAGGGGCACAGGAGGTGAGAGACAAAACACAGATAGCCGCAAGTTGAAATGTCCCAACCCACACACACAAAGCCTCCCTAGCATTCCCTGCAACCAACTCACGGCTGGTCCAACCGTTCCTTGAGCTTCGCCGCTGGCATGAAGAAGGAATAGAGCATGGATACACCCTGCGACAGCATGGTGATCTCCAATTTGTGCTCTGTCTGGAAGAGTTATAAGACAGGTGACAGCAGGGTTATGGGAATGAAGAGGCCAGCCAGTCACCTGCAGACCTAGCTCACCAGATGCGGATGAGTGAGGAAGGGGGCCTTACCTTAAAATAGTCAAGGAATTGTTTGAGAGTCATCTCCTCACCATTGGGTTGCAGTCCCTGAACCTCGAAGCGATCCCACAGTGTCCATTCTTGGTTATAGTACTGTGGGACAAGGTTACAGTAGGAATGGGGCTGAGATGGCCCAGCCGCCTGTGTGGCTCCCACTCCCCACTTCGGCATGCATGTTACAGCAGATCCCAACTCTTGTTCTAATCCTCCTGGTCTCCTTCACACTCTGAGCACCGAAGCCCTTAGGTCTAAGAGGCTCTCAAGCCACTGCGATCTTGTTTTCTTCTCATCTCCCACCTGCCTGATGCTCTCACTCACTCACTCTGCTCTATCAACTTTTTATTACCCATCTGCACAGAGAAGGTGCGGCACAAATATTTGATAGAATAAAGGAAGCAAGCCAAGTGAACAACATACAAAGCATCCAATAGATATTGACTACTATTACTGTACAGTTATAAATATTCTCCCAGGGCACATTCAAGCATCTCATTTTTAATGAGTTCCTTACGGGCAGAATCACACTGGTGCTTAGTACAGGTCAAATACTCAAACAACCTGATCAGTAAATGAATGACAAGGCACATACAAAAGGAGTACGTATGCATCAACAGAAACTGTCACCTGGTGACAGCATATGATGTGAACCAGAGCCAGCCCTACAGACACACCCCACCCAGAAACTCGGCTGCTGCCGTAAGCCCATACCTGGTGACGTGGTGCAGCCAGCGGTTCAGAAAAACCGAAAAAGGGCAGGGCCAAGTTAAGGAAACCATTCTTGTAGGATTCGAGGTGTCGGTGCCCCTGTACTACCTTGTACAGCTCCAGACACACAAGGCCAACGACAGCTGCTGTGGTCGTGGCAATGGCTGGGATGATCTTCCCTGCAATCAGTTTGCTCTGTGGGATGGGAGGGGACCAGGAAAGTGGGAGGTAATGTAGCTGCAGGAGGCTCAGGGTCAACACGAGGCCCTGAATGAGGGCATGTCAAGCCTGAGCAGGGCGTGGGGGACACCAGATCTAGATTCCCCTCACCTTGTGCCTGTCTGCAGGGGGAATATCATAGTTTTCGGCTCGGAGGTTGGAAGCAGCCACAATGAAATCCATATGAAAGTTTCTATCATCATCCTGGTGTGAATGGGAAGACAGAAAATGAGAAAAAGGTTTCCTAGTTTCCCCCTGGGAACATGGGTATTTTCTAGCACAATATCCTGCTTAGATTCCCCTAGCTTACAAAGTCATAGCTCGGAACACCTACTCATTGAGAGCCATGAGGCAGGTCCTGTGGCCTGATCTCCACCAAGGCTTGGGGGCTGGCTCCAGACCCTCAGACACTTGTTTTCTCCCACCTGTCCGTGCTCAGCTCACCCATTTGCCCTTCCCAGGGTCCCCCACCCAGCACCTTCTCAAAATCAATGGGGTACATCTTGAATCCACGGAGCTTGTCGGGACTGGGCAACGTTGCCTTAAGTTCCTCTAGACGACTATCATCTGCATGAAGAGAGGGGACACCATCAGCCTGTCGGCTCCGGGACAGGGTCTCAGGTGGAAACTGGAGCCCAGGGTGGGGCACAAGGCAAAAAGGCAATACAGGATTTGCAAAGGAGTGACAGGGTGTCGATGGGGCAAAGGGGAAAAGTGGAGCGGGAAAAAGAGTGCAAATTAGGGCAAGTCAGAAAGAAGCAGAGGGCATTAAGAGGAATCTCTAAAGACAATGAAGAGGGAAATGTAAACATCAGGGGGCACAGAGATCTGGGAAGACACGGCAGACTAACCATAGGAAAGCAGGGGATGGAAAAGATCCATGGAAAGTAAGTTGTAAGAAAACATAGATGTGCACACACAGGAGGGATACAGAGAGGGAGGCAGAGAAGGTACAAAAAGGGGAAGGGGATGAGAGTATACATGAGCATGAGAGGTGAGAGAAAATACACAAAGAGAAAAACCAGAAGACACACACAGAGGAACATGAAGGACTCGCCATTTCCATAGGAAGATGGGAGCATGGAAATGGATGGGGGACGAAAAGGGCAAGGTAGGGGAGTTAAAGGGCTACAGGTGTGAAAACGCTTAATGTGAAAAAGTAGGATTTCACAACTTTTTACACCAAAATATGCTTCTCTTTTCATTTTACTTTCCAGGGTACTTTTGAAGGTACCCTTGTGTGTAGATCAGCAACCAGTAAACTACCATAACAGGCTGAAGGCACACACCGGGAAACCCAAGGACAGGAGGAGTGGGAAACCCAAGGGCAGGAGGCGTGGAAAGGGAGGTAAGGCAGATAAGGAGGGAGGAGAGGACCTGAGGGTGGATCACACCCCCTAGATGAAAAGATCAGGAAAGAAAAGCAGAACTAAACCAAGGCTGGTCCACCCAGAGTAAACAAACAGCTCTTTCTCCTGAGGGCAGCCAGGGTAGGAGAAGGTGGGAGGTTCATTTGCACTCAATTGACCTTCTTCCTGTAAAACAGGAGGGCAGGCTGGAAGGAAGCAAGGTGTGGGTCAGCCGGCAGGTGGAGGGGTGGTCACAGAGCCAGGAGCAGAGGACTGGTGGGGGAAGATGGGCTAGGACGGAACACACATGGGCGGCGACTCCTGGCCAAGTAGCCAGGCACCCTCACCAACAGAGGCATTGGCACTCTGCAGCTCTTGGTCAGAAACGTGGATCTTGACTCCAGACTTGGGAGTAAATTCGGGGACCTGTACAGACTGCAGCAGTACGGCCACGGCAGCTCGGTCCTGAGAGCCTGCCAGCCCATAGGTTTGGGCAAACAGGTTGGCAGCAGCCATCACATAATCCAGGTGCAGGGGCTGGGAAGGAGGAGGACAGGGGAGTGGGGGAGGGACTGTGAGTGGTGCAGATCCACAGTGTGCAACCACCTCCACCTTCCCAGACATCCACCCTCCACCTGAACCCAGGGGACCCCCAGGGAGTAGACTTACGTTGCTAACATCGAAGGTGAGTGGGTGAGGACAACGTTTAGGCCCAGACCAGAAGGGCGCTCCCGAACTTGTGAGCTAAGCAACAGAGACACTTTTGAGGAACAAGACCAGAGAGTGGAGGCCTCTCTATCAAACCAGACTCCTTGCCTTGGCCCTGGATGTGCCCCACCACACTATCCCTGGCAGGGCACTAGAAAGAGGCATCAGTCACCAAAGCCCTAAATTGCAGGGATCCATCGATGAAGTTCCCAAGCTAGGCAAAACCAGGGACCACTATCAGGTCCTGGCCCCTCCCCCCACTTTATCACAGTCAATTTAATGGACTCTTGAGATTGACCAGGCATTGTACTAACCCAACAGCTAATCATTACAGCCAACCCCTATTCTTTCTACTTCAGAGATGAGCAAGCAGAAGTGTAGGCATAAGTTGTGCAACTTGTCCAAGCTCAGGTGAAGCTAGGATTCGAACCCACAATGATTTCTGTGCTCTTGACTCTATTAATTCTTACCCATAAACCCTACAGGGCTGACTGGGAGTTGGACACATATGACCCAAACCATTCCATAGGGAAGGGAAACAGACATGGAGTCTCTGGCTCCAAGGAGCAGGAATGAGAAAAAAATAGGCCAGGTTTAAAGGCTCTTCTGAGATTCCCACGCCTCAGGCAGACCCATGAGTCTGCAGGGGGGATACAGTCTGCTAAAGGGAGCCAGCAAGCAGGCAATACCTGGTCGGGAGGGAAGTTGTGCAACAGCTGCCGGATATTGTTAGAGTACTGGGTGTGCCAATGGTGGCAGGCCCAGGTCACACAGTCTGCCCAGTTCTGTGGTCGTTGCAGCACCAGGCTCCGCTGCACAGCCTCCAGCACCTCCAATGGCTGAGTACCCGCCAGCCGCAATGTCCGATCCACAAACTTGGGGTCTCTATCAGGAAGCAAAGGGAGGGCAAAAGGTGTGAGGGGGGGAATGAAGTACACTCTGGGACAAACCCAACCTTCCCCATAGAAAGCTAGCTGTGACCACTGAACAGCAGGAAGCCCAAGCATTTGCTGCCTTGATGGAAAAGCATGGTTGGTACTGAAGGCAGAGGTGGCAGGCCCCGGAAGACAGCGAGAACGCATCTGATTGACTCACGTGAGGTACTGGTTGACATTTTCTGCTGGCTGCTTGAAGAGGCCTTCAAATTCATCCCGAGCCCACTGCAGACAGAGCATAGATTAAAATGGGATGAAAAAAAAAAAAAAAAGGAAAAAGAAAGCTAACAAGTAACAACCTGGGGTTTCAGACGCAATCAGTGCAGTAACAAAGTAACCAACTGCACAAGAGCCCCTAAACCACTGCTCCAAAAATGTTGAACCCTTTTAAAGATGTATTTATTTGGGGGTGTGTGGGGGGGAAGATGTAGTTACTTGAAAGGAACAGTTACAGAGACTGACAAGAAAGGAAGAGCGAGACCCTTCATCTGCTGGTTGATTCCCCAGACGGCTGCCAGGGGTGAGTTGGGTTAGGCTGAAGCCAGGAGCCTCATCCAAGTCTCCCACGTGGGTACAAGCACCCAAGCACTTGGGCCATCTTCATCTGCTTTCCCAGGTATATTAGCAGAGAAATGGATTGAAAACAGAGCAGACTGAAACAACATCCACATGGGATTGTGGCATTGTAACTGGCAGCATACTTTATTATGTTGCAATGTTGGCCCCCAAATTTTCTCTTAATTTCTGTGTACCTCACTCTAGGTACATTATGCCTTGATAACACACATTGGAAGAGAGGTATTACAAAATAAATTAAAAAAAAAAAAATTCAGGGCCAGCACGATGGTACAGCAAGTTAATCCTCTCCCTGCAAGTGCCAGCATCCCACATGTGTGCTGGTTTGTGTCTTGGCTGCTCCACTTCCCATCCAGCTTTCTGTTGGTAGCCTGGAAAGGCAGCAGAGGATGGCCCAAGTCCCTGCACCCCTGTTCCCCTGTGGGAGACCCAGAAGAAGCTCCTGGCTTTGGAGTGACCTAGCTCTGGGCACTGCGGCTTTTTGAAGAGTGAACTAGTGATGCAAGATCTTTCTCTCTGCCAATAAATAAATAATAAATGTTTTCCAATAAGCAAATCTTTTTAAAAAATGAAAAAAAAATTCAAACATAAACCACAAATGATCCCTATCCAGGCCCTGCAGTTTCAACAGAACACATGCCAGAGCCTCTGTCCTTGAGAATTTCCAAGAGGGTCAATGCCGTCATCAGCGAGCTGGTCTGGAGTATACAGGTCTGGACAGTAGAGATCCAGGTGCAAATTCCAGCTCTGCCATACAGGACTTCATTTTGTGACTTTAGGACATCTAACACCCCCAGCTCTGTTTCCATCTTTGACAGTACATATGTAACAGTGAGTTACAACAATGCCAGCCTAAACAGTAAATGCAACCTTTACAATAACCCTGTGAGGTAAATGTTATTGTTAGCTCCAGATCTAATTTGACAGAGGAGGAATAGGAGGTACAAAGAATTTCAAGTCCCATACAGCCTAGTGAGACTGTGGTGGCTGCACACACACACAGCCACCCTAGAACCACAGGGTCACAAAGGAAGCTTCCAGATAGAATAGGTTCTTCCTTCCCCTCCCCAACTGCTTCCCACTCTCATACTATACTACTACCTAAACATTCTTAATAAACTGGCCTCAAACATTGCACTACGAATCATTCTGTCAGTAGCTAATAATTCTTGGGTTCTATTTCTTTTTAATTAAAATGATATTTAAAAGGAACAGACAAATATCTCATACGTTGGCATAGTCCCTAAGTCCCAATGATAACTGGGCCAGGCCAAATCAAGAAAACCCATCTGGGTAACCGTGTAGGTGGCAGGAACCATCATCAGATGCCTCCCAGGCACATCAACAGGAAGCTGGATTGGAAGTGGAGGAGGGATTCACTCTCGGGCACTTCCTTAGGGTATGCAGGTACTCAAGCTATGGCTTAACCTATTTACTGCCTCAATATGCCAAGCCGGCTTGGTTAGGTTCTGTTTTGTGGATCAGGTCTTGGTCGCCTAAGACCTTACTTTGTAAAGCTTTAGCTAAATGATATGTACACTGTCCAGCACATATGCACATTTTACACACACACACACACACACACACACAGTCACCCTAAGAGGCCAACTGTTAACTCATTTTGACCAAATGCAGCGGAATATGGACTGAGTCTTAAGACAAATTGCTAGAAAAGATGGTAATAAAAGTGGAGGCACTGGCACAGTGACTTTTTAGGCTAATCCTCCACCTGCCGATGGCTTGGGAAAATAACAGAGGATGGCCCAAGGCCTTGGGACTCTGCACCCATGGGGGCAGCCAGAAGAAGCTCCTAGATCCCAGTTTTGGACTGGCTCAGTTCTGGCCATTGTAGCCATTTAGGGAGTAAACCAGTGGATGTTAGAGCTTTCTGTATCTCCTCTCTCTCTGTGACTCTGGACTGCATCCTATATGTGTACCAATTGTGTCCTGGCTGCCCCACTTCCCTTCCAGCTCCCTGCTTGTGGCCTGGGAAAGCAGTCGAGGACGGCCCAAAGCCTTGGGCCTCTGCAAGACCCAGAGGAAGTTCCTGGCTTTGGATTGGTCCAGCTCTGGCCACTGCAGCCATTTGCGGAATGAACCAGTACATGGACAATTCTGGGTAATTCTGTCTTTCCAATAGAAATAAATAAATTTTTTAAAAAGAGAAATGACTGGTACATTTTGTTCAGCATGAATGTATGGTTGTTTTGGTTACACACCAGTTCTCTATTGGGAATGATTTGTACCACCTCCCTCCCAATAGATGTTTGGCACCTGCCTGGGGACATTTTCAGTTGTTTCAAACAAGAGACTATGGCATTGCTGCATGCATCTAGTGGGCAGAAGCCAGGAATGCTGTGGGACCTCCTTGATATAACAATGAGCTGGCCCCAGAGGTCACAGTGCCAAGCTGCTCCATAGGAACAAATCTTCCTTTTGCAGAGGCACACAAAGGCAGCAGGGAGTCAAGTGTTGAGATGGCCATGACACACCCCAATGGAAAGGAGAGACAACATCAACAAAAGTACGAATATAAGCCAACAATATGGCAAATCCCTGACCACAGCTAAACTTGGGTATTCATTGTTGTACTCCTCACACTTGTCTGCAACCAGAGGGGGGAAAAAAAAAATCACAAATGAAAGTGAATAATGAATCATCCCCAAAAGTGGTGCATGCAGCTGGGTGGAGGCGAGGTGGCGGCGGTCTGAAGAAAAGCACCGCTTAAACTCGGGCATGCACCACGCGGGTGCTCCAGGCACTGTGGCAGGGAGGCAATCCGGGTGCTGCCCCTAGTCCCCTTCCTCTCGCAGCTGCGCACCTGCAGAGTGTGCTCAATGGCATTAGGGAAGTTCTTCAGGGTACAGATGGGGATGGACTTCTCAGGTGGGTCTTGGCTGGAGCTGTAGGACTCTGTCAGGAAGGGGATCACCACCTGGACATTGCCCTTGGTGCCCAGGGTGCCTGATTCAAGCAGCGGCTTCCGGTAGTACACACAGCGGCGGTCCATGTACATGCCTGTGGGAGAGGTAGGGAATGACAACAACATGAGAGCCAGGTAAAGCAGTATCAGGAAAGAAAGGTAAGATAGGTAGAGATAATAAGAATTCCCTAGCACACACACGCACACAGACACACACCCCAGTTTTGTCCTCAACCTCCTCACCCACCGCCCAACTCACGGGCATCCACGTTGTCCAGGGCATTGGCCACACCATCCAGAGTTTGGAAGAAATCGTCGTCATAGATGCGTTCAGTGTCAGGACCCACACGGTTCTGGTGGCTTATCACCCGGATGTGTGGGTTCATCTGATGCACAGCTGCAGCAGCCGTGTCAGACTTTAATTTCTAGTGGGGGGCCCGGGTAGAGATAGGGGAACAGAACTCAGTTATTGGTTCCTTCACCCTACAAACGTCTATAGAGAGCTGGCCTCCTGAGGACTGGTTTCCTCATGCTAGGGAAGATCAGACCGAGTTCAGGAAGCTCCCTGGTTTAGCCAGAGACAGCTCCGTGACAGGGCCATGTACCTGGGGCTGTGGCACATGGGGCTGCGATTCAGCAAAGAGGGAAAACAGATGTGTACACTGCTTCTTTTTCTACTCAACAGCTATTGTTCTTTCCACTAACCGCACCCAGGGTTGGAGTAGAAATCCTATCACAAAAACTAGAATGACGGCGCACAGACAAGCAGGATCTTTGCAAAGCCCCTCTTTGTTCAGAACCCTTTCCTGGCTCCCATGCCGAACGCCTAACACCACTTCCTGGAAAAAATTAAGCATGTCCTCCTGTGCAACTCTGCTGGCAGAGGACTCTTTCTTAGGAGAGTGAACCTGACTTCACTCCATGAACCCCTTCCCATAGCGGACTGGTATGTATCCATTCACTATAAATAGCCTTGGGACTGCTATCATGGTATAGCAAGTTAAGCCACTATATGTGACACTGGCATCCCATAGGAGCACTGGTTCAAGCCCTGGCCATTCTACTTCCGATCCAGCTCTCTGCTAATGCACCTGGGAAAGCAGCAGAAGACAACAATCCAAGTGCTTGGGCACCTCTCATCCACATGGGAGATCTAGGGTGGATGGAGTTGGAGTTGCAGGCTCTTGGCTTCAGTCTGGCCCTGCCCCAAGCCATTGCAGCCATCTGGAGAGCGAACCAGTGTATGTAAGACCTCTCTCTAACTCCACCTTCCAAATAAGTAATCTTTTTCTAAAACAAATTACAGTCTGTATACAATTACATGCTGAGTTCTGTGAATTTTAGTGACTCAAACTTAGAGCTGTCTTGGAGGGCCTGAACACATTGCCACAACCAGCACTGAGAAAAGGTCAAGGAGAACAGAAGGGCAGAAGTTTCTTGAATGAATGGCAAGAGAAACTGAGGGGAAGTAGAGCCAAAAGAAAGAAATGACAAAACCCCACCCTGGTTCATATGGTGCTCACCGTGACGTCCCAGGGCCGAAACAGAAACTGTCGATTCAGATTCGATTTCTCAATGGTGTCCATGTCTGTGACAATTATTTCTCCATTCTCCCCACAGCCCAGGCCAATCATGGCAAAGTTCTTGAGCAGCTCACAGCCAATGGCCCCTGCACCCACCTGAGAAAGAGCCAAGAAGAGACAGCCAAGCCAGTCAGCGTGATAGAAGGTTGGAGCAAAACCACCCATCACTCCTCACTGCCCCTGGAGCCAGCGGGAAGGGGAAAGAGGTTCTAGTGCCACATCTTTAAGTCCCAAGACCCACAGTCATTTGAGGAAGGAGGCAGCAGATAGGCGAACAGAGACACATGAGCCTCTCCTTTAAAGTGATGTGAGGTGGGTCTAAGAACAAAAAGGCCCTCCTTGCTGAGATACAGGAGGTGGCTCCAGCAGGGCTGGCCTGAGGCCAGGGGACGCATAAGCAGCAAGTGTCCAAGGGGCTCACTCACCAGGAAGTACTTCTGCCTGCCCAGCTTCTCTTGCAGGTCTGACCCAAATACAGCCACCTGTCCATCATAGCGGTTTTGGCGCTGCAGAATATGAAGGGTGGTGGTTCAGAGAGGGACCACCTCCCGTTGAGCTGACCCCAGTGACGCTTTCCCCACAGGCCCTCCTCACTTACCGGGAGGCACATATCCTCTGTGAGGGCCTCTTTGTCCTCAGGGAGACACTCAAGGGCATCAAAGTACAGCCACTGCATGATGGGTGTAAACTTCCCTGAGCAGGCCTGGGGATGGGGAAGGAGAGGGGAGGTGACCAGACATTAGCTAGGGCCTCACTCAGGTGGACAGGTGGTGGTGCCAGGGAAAACACCTGGTCCACACTCAACCCTCTCCCTCCCCACGCAGGCTCACCTTCATGACTTCCTGGGCAGCCAGGCCCCCAATGAAGGCATTGATGGGTGCCAGATCCCCAGCTGCCACATATGCCAGATTCCGGATAAGGTCTGTATCCAGGTTATCCTGCTGCACGGCCGACGAAGCTTTAGCGTTCACAGCCTGTGCCAGGGACACCAGCTGTGCTGCATCCTCCTGCAAAAATTAATTAATTAATTTAAAAAAATTCACAGAGAGGTCATAGTCAGACCACCAGGAGAAGAGGAGAGAGCTAAAAGGCTAAAGCCATGGTTCCACCCCAACCTGTACCCACCTCGTTGCGGGGCCGGGGTGGTCGGCCATGCTGAGCACAAAACTTGTGCAGGGCTTGGAAGCCAATGTGGAGCTGGGCAGGGCGAGCGAACTTGGCGAAATCCGTCACCACAAAGTCAGGCTCTGCCAGCGAAGCCGCCAGGGATTTCTGGGGTGGGATTGGAGACAGACAGGGCATCAGACCCAGAAGAGAGGGACACAAGAGGGGAAACTGCAGCGAGCCAGCACCCTGCAACACACTCACAAAGCCAATCTTCTTGGGTACTTTGACTTGACTGACGATGCCTCCACGTATATAATCAGAAAAGTTGGAGGTGTCGCAGATACTAAAGGTATAAGGACCTGGGGTAGATGGGGAAGCCGTCAGTCTTACCCATCCTCCCTAAAAGCCTACCACAACTGCAAGCTAAGAAATACAACTTGTTTTTCCCCAGCTCAGACCCCAAGAACCATCTCTGCCATCCAGGGTTCCACAGGGGAATCAGAAAGTATCTCATCTGTCCCGTATGCAACTCACATCCCACGTCAGCCTGCATCTCTGCTTCCTAACCCAATCAGCTCAAATGCAGACGGCTCCTAATCTGCCCTGGTCATATGCCAGAGACCTTGTCCCCCATTGCTCAGCTTCCCAGGAACCCAGCACCCCTAAGAAAGGCTTTGAGGCTAACAGTAGCCCTCCCACCCCACATCAGCTCTGCCCACACTGGGTAATTTTGTCTGTGGGTGGTCCCACACACCCAGGATGTGTGTGTGTGTGTCCCCCTTCCCTGGAAACCCAGGCACACACCTCCCCACTCTTTGACCCACTGGCCAGTGCCCAGGAGCCTAGCTGCTCACTCCCCCATGGCTCCCCCATGGCCTCAGCTCACCCAGGACTTTGATCTCTATGAGTTGATTTCCATTGAGCTCAGTCATGCCCTGTACTTCCGAAAAGGAGACAAAGTCACCACTTTCAAACCCGTGTCGGGCCTCATCCAGGCAGGTAACCACACCAGGGTTGTCCTAGTTAAAGGAGAAGTAGGCCTCAGAGGTGGGCTCGGGGTACCAGGAGCAGAGAAGTGGAGCAGCCACTGCCCAGCTGCCCTGCCAGGAACCCCAGAGCCTGATTTCCTCACCTTGGTGATCATAGAGACCATGGCACTAAGCGGCTGTTCCCCATTGGAATCCGTGAGGATCATCTCTTCTCCGAAGTCACAGAAGAGTTGCCTATAGAGCAAAACGGGGGCTCAGGCCCACAGCTCCCCCGCCCATAGGACCCACGTATCCCTCCACATGCAGTGAGTACTTGCTGAGCAAACTCAGTCCGTCACCGCTGTAGTTACTGCAGGAATCGGTTGGCACTCAGGCCACGTGGGGGACACAGCAGTGCAAAGAATCCAAAACCCAGGTGGCTAGGGGAGGGACAAGGGCACAGAGAGCCAGGGTGGGGGGAATCTTGGCCTAGGCCTGGAAAAGGTGAAGGACAAAGGCGGCAGGCGGGTGTGGCACTCACCCAAACAGGCCTCTTGTGTCTGCTACTACCAGCTTGATGCCACGACTGTGACAGAACTCGCCCACACGCAACTGGTCCTCCAGGGGGCTGTTAGTGAGGACAACCACCTGCCAAGATGGGGAGGTTCAGACTAAAGCTTGGGGCCTGGGATGGGGGAAAGCCTAGGGGGTGGAAAGGGGACAATGGAGGGCTAAGGGCCAGCCTCAAGGTCAAGCTGTCCAGACTTTCCGCTGCTTCAGTCCTCTTACAAACACAACATGCTGACTATACTGTGTGTCAGACTCCCCAAGGATGAGCCCTGGCAATGAGAAACCCAAATCCCGAGACAAGGCTGGGGAAGGTGAAGAGGCAGCCAGGAGGATGGAGTGTGGAGAACAGCTGACTCATTTTGTTTGACAAACACCTACTGCTGCCTGCCCACAACCTTGCCTTGCTGGTGCCCCATGAGAGGCGGGCGGGGTAAAACTGGCTCCAGCCGGAGTCTGAGCTCACTCCTACCACACCCACCTGCTCCGGATTCCCAGGACAAGGCCTGCTCAGTCCCATTCTTTCAGACTTTGCTCTCTGCCTCAATATGCCCATCCTGAGGCAGCAGGGTCAGAACCAACTGCTCCATCAGGATTCAGCTGCCCTGCCCTGGCTCCCTGGGTCACCCCGAAGCATCATGGGACTTTTTCAGCAACACCTCTATACTTCATAGCACGTGTCAGCTATTCAACCTTCCCCAGAACTCAGCGAGGTGAGGACGGCTTCCATGCTCAGTCCACAAACAAGAAAATGAATAGCCACACACTAAGGCTCTTACCATATTAGTAAGAGCCCAGGGTCCATGCAGGGCAGAGTGGCCCTGGGGTCCCCCAATACCAGCTACATGCACATTTCCTCTTTCCACCAAGGCCGGGTCCGATTGATATCTGACCCTGCCCACATCCTTTGGGTTCCTACAGCATGCAGCCTGGCATGCAGGGTCAGGCCACTAAGCAAGTGGTGATGACGTACGGCAGCCCAAAGACAGGCTCCAAGAAAAGGGCAGAGAAGGCTGTACCTGGAAGCCACTGAGGAAATCCTCAACAAGGGGTCCAGTGTAGGCACTGACGGGCACGTAGCTGTTGAGCTCGGCAAGGCGGGGCTGTGACACCTCAGCACGGTTTTTCCCAATGTCCTCCTCCCGCAGGTAGAACTGCAAAGGGATCAAGTTGGGAGGCAGGTGTGAGCGGCTGGGGCAGCCTGTGGCACTGCTATTGCAGCAGGAGGGAAATGGGCTGGGAAGAGGTACCTGCGAGGAGAGGTCAGCCCACTGGGCAGTGCCCTGGTCATGGAGGGTCACAGCCTTGACTCCACCAAGGATGATGTTCTTTGCAATCTCCACACCCAGGCCTCGCAGGCCTGAAACTAGTACACTGGATGTCTGGAGCCGCTTCATTGCATCATGGCCCAACACATACCTGCCAGGTGAAGGGGCACTCCAGGTCAGCGGCGGGCCCACCAAGCCTCCCGCCCACCCTGCTGGGCCCAGCCCTGGCCCCACTCACAGTTGCCGGGAGTAAAGGCCCTCATCGATATCTGCTTCGTTGCCGTTCCTCGCCATTCCCTGGGGGGGAGGGAGAGGAAACAGGGGGTCAGGAAGGGCTGCAGCAGCCAGGCACAAACAGTGGCGCCATCCTGCCAGTCTTTCCCCCAGGAGAGGGCAGACACTCACGTTGGTTGGCACCGAGGGCACTTGGGACAACACGGATTGGGAAGGGGAGCAGTTAGAACCCGGCTTTGGATCAGGCCCGGACACGCGACGTTTCTTGGACAGCGGCGAGCTGGACATCTGGAGGGAAAGAGGGCAGATGTGAGCACATGGGCACACCGTTTGGTCTGATGATGCCAATGGCGAGCAGGGGTGGGGCGGGGAAGACTTCAAAACACCTGTACCCCCATTTTACACAAGAGGAGACAGGCAGATGGGTGAGGTGACTTGCCCAAGGTCACTCAGCCGTCAGAGGTGACGTCTGAACCCAGGTGGCGTGGCTGGCAGATCCACGCAGCTCACCACTGAGCCAGCTGCCTCTCCCCAGCTCAGCGTAATGACGCAGAGACTCCTCCGATCCTGCGGGATGACGGGAGTAACGAGAACGGATTGGGGGAGAAGTCAGGAAAGGGGTGTGGGTTCAGGGGACAGAGATCCTGCTGCAAATCTTGAGCCGGCTATTCCTTGGAAGCTATGGGCCTCAGTTTCTTCATCTGTAAAATGGGATGTGTGCATGTGTGTGTGTCAGAAAGAATACCACTTACCTTTCCCATGGGATTGAGAAAAAAAACACAGACTATGGAGCCTGGCCCAGGGGGGTAGGCAAACAGTAATAAGCAGCCATTCTCCTCTCTCTCAATCCCATGGATGGCAGGGGAAGAGAGAGGAGCAGGGTGCAAGAGGAAAATGAGGCCTGGGCATCCACCAGGCTGGCATGATGTCAAGAGACACCGTGCATAGGGAAAATCCACTCCCCAGAGGGGCTTGGGGAGTTTTACAAGGCCCAATCCCAACTTTGAGAGGAAAACCAGGGCTCAGATTAAAAAACAAAAAACAAGAAAACACAAAGTTTCAACCTCTTGTGTACACTTGCAGCCCGTGAAACAGACTAAGGCCACTGGTGAGTGCTTGAACAGTCTCACTCTGTCCCAAGGTCCTCCCTGCGGGGTTGGGAATACCATGAATAGCTCCCAGCTCACAAGGCAGGGGGAAAACCAGAATGCATCCAGACACGCTGGGTGACCTGACCAAAATTCCCAGAGTGTGGCTAAGCTGGGACATCAGACCAGGATCTGCCGACTGAGAGGCTCAGGCAGGCTACCTCCTGCTGTTAACAGCGTTTAATGGCAACAGTTTTCACTCTGGTGAGCCAGGGGTCAGAGCCCTCACCCCTCACCGCACTAAGCCTCATCCTCTCAGGTAACCTGCTGAAGGTCCCTTGCCAGCTCCCGGATACAGAACAACAATCTGGCAGTGGTAGTGATGGGTATGGGTGTGTGTGTGTGTGACTCAATCCAGATGTCAGAGAGCAGGACCAGGACCCCTTTGCCTCGGAGCATGGGGCCTTTGCCTGCTTATACCTGAGCCTCCAGGTCATACACGTCCTCATACACTGAGTCCCTGCTGACACCTGCCATCAAGTGGACCTCAGATTCCACCTGCCTTTCCCTTGCACTCATCCCAGGGACAAGAGCTTCCTACCATCTAGCAGGAGCATCCTGCCTGGCAAGCCTTCACAGGGACAAGGCTTTGGTCTGATCCTGATGGTAAATGTGAACTCCATGACCTCACGCACACACCACAAACGGGCCAACCAAGGCTCAGGGCACGCTATGCGCTCACACAGTCATGCAGCTAACTGGTAGGGAGTTTGTCGAATGCCTCCTGGGTGAATGGAGTCGGGACTCAGCACAGAGCCCACCCTAAGAGCTAAGGGACACGAGGGGAGGGCGAAGGCTGGCTAGAGCCTCTAAGCCTGCCGGGTGGCCCACTGGCAATGCTAAAGAACCCACCTGGGCAGGAAGAGTCTTGGTGAGTTAGCAGAGAAACAAAAGCAACGCATACACCACTTACTGGCATTCTCATCTGGCGAAGGGGCTCACTGTCTCTGAGCCCCACTGTGTCTAACAGCTGGGACAAACGCACTGTCCTTTAAGGGGTTGCCGGGAGGCTTCAAGAAGCCACGATCTGTGGTCAGAACTCAGTGACCTGGGGACACGAGCTCTCGCGGAGGCACCTGCAACAGTCTGCGTTACTCATTTTGTGATCTCGCTTCATCACTGCTACGACACATCATCTCCTCACTCCCTGAGACAGGAGGAGGGGCCAGGGAACTCTGAGGCGGCTGCAACTTTTTACCTTGGGCTGCCACGAGTGGCAGCTTTGAGGTAAATGGTTCCAAAGTAGATCCCAATGCTAAATGTCTGGACCAGCCCTGTCTGAAGCAAGGCAGGTAGAAGGGCTCTGGGAGCAAGCAAAACAACCCCCCCTTCCCTGAAAAAAAAAAACCTGCCAAAGATCCCCCCCCACATGCAAAGAGGAAACAAAGCCCTAAATCAATCCTTTACCCCATTTGCTCAGCCTTCTCCTGTAATGACACATATCCTGGGAATTGCTTGCTAAAGCTTTCAACTGGGACTGAAAGTAACCTGCAAAACTTCTCCACGGGGGCGGGGGTGGGGGGACGGTATCAAACTAATCTTCAAGCCCCACTTACTGCATCCCCAAAGCAGCAGTGCTTGGGGGCGGGGGTGGGGAAGAGTCCCATGAGTAGGTCTGAAGGAGGTCTCCGGGGCCACAGGACCAGGAGAGGTGCTAAGGTAGAGGGGCCTGTCAAATTTCCCGGGGAAGTCCTTGGGAATACGAGAGAGGGGGAATCGGGCAAGCCAGGCTCCAACTGGGTCTCTGGAAAAAGGATCTTGAGGGGAGAGGGGCTGCAGAAGGTGTGGTGGAGGCTTCCAGAGGCTGCGACAAGGAGGGAGGAGGGAAGCAGGTGGACCTCACAGAAGCCATCACAGAGACTGGGTGGGCGATTGCTGCACCTGGAGCAGCTGCTGGGGCCTGCAGGGAGAGGTTATTCCCCAGCAGAAATCCTTGAGCAGTGGAAGAAGTACCCGTGACGTGGAGCGCCAGGAGGCAGCGCAGGTGGCTGCTGGGAGAGATCCCGGAGGACAGGTCTCAAAGGCAGGAGCCCCAAGGGGGCACAAGGACCTGCCCGTGTTGTCTCTGAGAGCACACACTGGGCTAGGTACCGCGGCTTGCACTGGGGAGAAGCTGAGTGCAGAGCGCCAACCTGAAGAAAGCCACACGAGTCAGCGTGGCGTTGCGTGGCTCCACGGGGACTCTGCACAAGCTGACAGCAGAAGCCAAGAATGGTTTTGGTTTTTTTTTTTTTTTTGCTACTCAAGGGGAGCCTAGCAGGGTCGGGGCGGGGGAGAGGGGTAGAAAGCAGACCTCTGCCAGCTGACATTTAGGGTCCTACGAAGCCAAACGGCCAAGCCTTGCAAAGCCTCTAACAGAAGAAGCTGCAGCCTTCGGCTGGAGAAAGAACAGCTGAAAGTAATGCACAGTTCGGGGCTGAGCTAGCAAGCTGAGTCCTCGGGGAAGGGGAGGGAGGAGGGAGAGCCAGGAGCCCACTCCCGGCTATTCAAGAGCAGATGGCCACGGGACATCTTTGCTGGAGGATTAGGTATCTCCCTCGGTCTGTCACTCCTCCTCCCCCCCCCCCATGTCTAGCCCCTGGGAATACCTGCTGGGGGTGGAGGGAGGGGAGAGAGACTACTGGGGAAGGTGCTGAGACCTGGGGAGGTGGGGACTTGAGGGGGAGGAAGACCCCCTACAATCGGAGAAAGCCTCTAAGGGTTTACTCTAGGAATGGAAGGAGTCTAAAGATGGATGCAGACAGGAGCTTGCAAACAGGAACGCTGGGGAAGCGGCGGGGGAAACGGCAGGGGTGGGGGGAGGGGCACGGACACGGACCCAATGGAGGATGCTAACACTGGGAGACGTGGGAGAGGGTCTCTGACAGGAAGGCTGGGAGCAAACAGCCTTTCAGAGGATGCAAGCCCGGAGTCTGAGGCTGGGGGGGTAGAGGTGCAGAAAGAACATGCTTAAGAGAAGGTTCTCAAAAATGCAGACCGTATGGTCTTGATCGCTAAGTTTGCCCCTCCCAAGCCAAGGCGGCAACACTGAAGCGCTAGCAGGCACGGCAAGGGAGATTTGGGGGGAAAAGATCCTTAATGCATGCCACAGCATGGGGCTCGGAACAGCAAGGCTGAGCACAGCGTTTCCCTTGGGAATGAGGGAGGTACAGCAATTGTGATCTGAAATGCAGGGATCGAGACAGGGATGGGTCCCTGACTACCGATCTTGGACGCTAGTCTCTAAATGCAGATCCCGGAGTTGATTAGATCTGGAAGCCCAAGGGAGTAAGGTGGTCCTAGCCCGAAAATTAACTCCCCACCGCATAATCGGCACCTCCCTCACACATCCCACCACATCCAGCCCGACCCTCAGTGCCCAAAGTCATCATGGCTCGCGCCGACGTCAGCCTAGCCCAGTGCTGGTTCATGCCGCTCTAATGCCTTCCCAAACCCTTGCCCCTGCACTGAGATAGGCTGTTTTTTACCAATGCCGGTTCCCCGGGTCGCGCCGCCGCCAACTCCTCAAGGAGCCGAAGCCAAGCCCGGCCGCCACCCTCCTCCTTCTCCCCACCGCCTCGGCCGCCTAGAATCGCCGCCGCCGCCGCCTCCTCCCCTGGCCGTAGTGGTTCTGTTCTTCACTGCTACCTCCTTCACCTCAGTCGCCGACACAAGATGGCGGCTGCTGAGCCCAAGGCCGGAACAAAACCTTGGGTTCCTCCCCCAGAAACCCGGATGCAAGAGGGCCGCGCCCATTCATGAATCATGTATAGTGCTCCGAAGCAGGTTATTACCCATTCTGTAAGAAAGTAAATGGCTCCCCCTGGTGGCTACTGTAGCGATCGTTAGGGAAACAGGTAAGTAGGCCACGCCCTACAGAACACGAAGGATGATTTAAGTGCTGCCATCAAGCTGCAACAGAAACCCAGACAGGACCTCAAGGCCATGCTTTCGATCATGAGTGCAATATGAAGCCGAGTGACTGGCCGACTAACACCCAGAAGCCAGAAAGCCGTTAAAACAAGGAAGTCACAGCCCCACTGCTCATGAATAATGCACGATCCTGCAGCAGCCCGGAAGCCAAGGAGACCAAGGCTACTTCTTAGTCATGCATAATGCATGAAAGGCCAGTGGGCTGGAACAAAAGGGGCGGGCCTGCCAATTGCCGCATCTAAATTGGGCTACCGCAGGGAGCACTAACTCCCTGTGCTCCTGAATAATGAATACTGCCGCAGTAGCTCAAGCTAGAGATTCAGAGAGGTCAAGAAAGGTTCCACCCACTTCATGACTTATGCATGACGCTGGCTGAGCAGAAACACTCGAGACGGCGCCGCCTAGCAAATAGGGATCACGGTAGTCTATGGAAAGTGACAGAACCACGCCTTCCCGTTCGTGAGCCCCCAGGGGGAGTGTAGACCCTTCCTCCATCCCCCATGTCTCCGCAGCACCTCCCAACTAAGTGCTTAGGAGCTAGTGCTGCTTTAATGCATCCGAATGCAAACACATATGCCTTTGGCAGGTTCCTCAGTTTCCAGAACCGTTAAGATCGGAATAATAATCCACCTCATACAGATGAAATGTGAGCTTATGAAAACCAACGAGTAGGAACAGTGGTGACTCGACGCTCTGTTGAATTTCTTAAGAAACAGAAACACAACAGGCCAAAAGTTTAAATAAGCACAAAATCGGTTATGCGTAACTATATATACCCAGCTACTAGAGGAATCGTCAGTGGGGGCTGCTGTTCCCCCGGCTAGAAGAGGGGATGATAGCGGTAACTTACCTTGTCACAGATTTTTCAATCAGTAACTATGTAGAAAGTTCAAAATGGTGCTTGATACATACTTGAGCGGTATGGGGCTAGCACTGGGAGAAGCGCTCTTATATAGGGTGGGGGACCCATTATGACGGTTCCGTTGCTAAGATCACGGACGCCGGAAGTAGAATCATTGGAGTTTTAATCCTGACTTAGCCACTCACAGACCATGTAACATTAGACAAATGTTGGGCCCGGCGGCGTGGCCTAGCGGCTAAAGTCCTCGCCTAGAACGCGCCGGGATTCCATATGGGTGCCGGTTCTAATCCCGGCCACTCCACTTCCCATCCAGCTCCCTGCCTGTGACCTGGGAAAGCAGTCGAGGACGGCCCAAAGCCTTGGGACCCGGCACCCGCGTGGGAGACCCGGAAGAGCTCCTGGTTCCTGGCTCCGGATCGGCGCAGCACCGGCCGTTGCGGTTACTTGGGGAGTGAATCATCGGACAGAAGATCTTTCTCTCTGTCTCGCCTCTCTGTATATCTGACTTTCCAATAAAAATAAATACATCTTTAAAAAAAAAAAAACATTAGACAAATGTGTCTTCCCGTGCCCTAGTTTTCTCATCTGTGAAGTGGGATAATAATAACCTAGCTGCGAGGCTTGTTGTGGAGATTAACTAGGCTAATAAAGTGGCTCCACGAGTGTAAGCTAGTCATTATTCTGAGGCCTTTTTTTTTTAAGGCTCACAGATTTACCAAACATCACACCACGGGCGAGGACGGATTTGAGTTCCTAGCCTCCGTCAGCAACCTGGTATGACAGAGCCTTCTAGACTGTTCAATGCACACGGCGTCGTGCAGCCTCCAGATGCACCACTGAAACCCTGCAGCCTGCAAGCTACGCACCGACGGAGCAGGGATGGAGCCGGGGCGGGAGGGGGAGCACGGAGCCACTCCCCTCATGAATTATGCACCAATCCATAGGGAACTTGAGGCGCTGCTCACCTCACGAACAATCAGTACACGACAGCTTCCCGTGCAAAATCAAAACACCCCTTCAAGCACGCGGACCCAGCCCCTTTTCAATGATTTCCAGCCCCGGCGTCCGGGGCATCAGTCTCGAGGGAAGCCCTGGCTTTCCGAGCGCAGCTCCGCCTCCTCATGAATAACAGAGCCAGCCGCGGCCGGAGGAGGCCCGCCGCTGTGACGTCCCCTCACCGAGAGCCTGACAGGCTGTTCGTTTCGCAGCGCCAACGGGAGGGGTCCTCCTCCCGGGCCGTGAGCCCCGGCGTGTCCAGACTCCCAATCTCGAGTGGCCCGGCACGAGGACTCCTCCAGAGAGTCACAAAGCCCTGAGGCGCCCACCCTCGGCACCACAACGCCGCCTTAGTCCCGTCCATCTCTCGCTGTCACCACAGCCCGTCCCGAAAAGCCAGCAAACCCGGCCCACATCCCACCTCGAACTCTAGGAACCTCGAGCCTGCCGTCTGCCCTTGGGCGACGGTCCCAAGGCTGCGCGGACCGAGGGAGCCAGCCGCGGACCCCGAGGGGCTCCCCAACCGCCGCCCTCCCCCAACTACCTGCATAAAGCACCGACCGCACGCAGACTCGCTCCCACTCCCACCCGGGACTTTCCCGAACGCTATTTCAGAAACGTCCCCTCAAAAGCAGACACCTTGAAATGCCACCCCGGGCCCACAGGCTCCACAGACACCCCTTAGGAGAGCCCCGAAGTTGAGGGTTAGGGGAGCACCCGCCTTCAAATGCTGTCCAGGAACTTGGGGGCACGGGGCTCCAGCTCACCCCCTGTGCCGGGCGGAAGCCTCCTTTTTCCTGTTGGAGATGAGCTGAAGCCACGGGGCAACGGAAGAAAAAACCACCTCCGGTTGTACTAGAGAAGCCAGAGTTTGCGCGGAGCTCGGAAGCGCGGGGCCTTAGAGGGCCCCGGGGCCTGGGACATACCACACGTGCCTTGCAAGAGGGGAGAGCGCCGCTACTCCCGCCTGGCTGGCACTGCTTTCGCTTCCAAATACCCCCACAGACTGTGGTACGTCCCCGATGCGCGAGGCATGCTGGGGTTGGTAGTCCTCCCTGACTAGTTCTTGGTGCACGTGGTGGGCATCAGCGCCCGGCGAATGAAAAAAATGTAGCCCAGGATAGGGGACGTCCTAGAGCCCTGCTCTGAGGAGATGGGAAGACAGAATGGAACGTTGACGTGCCCCGGTTGGTCAGACACATCCATCCTACAGATGGCAACATTGAGGCTCAGGTAACCAAGGAAGCTTGGCCATTTAACATTTTAAATGTGACCCAGGAGCCAGCTAGGCTGCTGACATTCCAGCGTCAGCCGTAGACTGTAAACGTAGTAAATAAGTAAAAATTAGCGTCTCACATTTACACATGTGTTACAATAGATATCTGCGACTATATATATAAATCATATAAACAAGCATATGAAATAAAGACTACAACTCCTATGTGATAACAAATGTGTGCATGATGTCAATAAATATCGATATGCTCATAGGTGCATATTTATATTGTGTAATTAAGGATAGGGAAGGTGTTTAGTTGTACATGACTTAAGGATGGGAATCCTTGCTTTTTTTTTCTTTACTTTTAAAAATATGGATGCATTGAGGGCCCAGCGGCGTGGCCTAGTGGCTAAGGTCCTCGCCTTGAATGCGCCAGGATCCTATATGGGCGCCGGTTCTAATCCCGGCAGCTCCACTTCCCATCCAGCTCCCTGCTTGTGGCCTGGGAAAGCAGTCAAGGACGGCCCAAAGCTTTGGGACCCTGCACCCGCGTGGGAGACCCGGAAGAGGTTCCTGGTTCCCGGCTTTGGATTGGCGCAGCACCAGCCGTTGCGGCCACTTGGGGAGTGAATCATCGGATGGAAGATCTTCCTCTCTGTCTCTCCTCCTCTCTGTATATATGACTTTGTAATAAAAATAAATCTTTAAAAAAATAAATAAAAATATGGATACATTGGGCCCGGCGCGATAGCGTAGTGGTTAAAGTCCTTGCCTTGCACGCCCAGGATCCCACATGGGCGCCGGTTCTAATCCCGGAAGCCCCACTTCCCATCCAGCTCCCTGCTTGTAACCTGGGAAAACAGTAGAGGGCAGCCCAACGCTTTGGGACCCTGCACCCACGTGGGAGACGTGGAAGAAGTTCCTGGCTCTGGCTTCGGATTGGCTCAGCTCCAGCAGTTGCAGCCGCTTGGGGAGTGAATCATCAGACAGATGATCTTCCTCTGTCTCTTCTCTCTGTGTATCTGACTTCGCAATACAAATAAGTAAATCTTTAAAAATATGTATGAATGCATTGGGGAGTGGTGCGGTGGTATAGCAAGCTAATCCTGTAGCTCGCAGTGCCAGTATCCCATATGGGTGTCAGTTCTTGTCTCAGCAGCTCGAATTCTGATGCAGCAGAGGATGGCCCAAGCCCTTGGGACTCTGCACACATGTGGAATACCTGGAGGTAACTCCTAGCTCTGAGCTGTAGCGGTAACAGCCATTTGAAGAAATGAACTAGCGAATGGAAGACCTTCTGTCTCTCCTTCTCTCTGTAAAATCTACTTTTCAAATAAAAATAAACTTTTCAAAAATATATGTAGGCATGTATTTATGTACATATCTGAAATGCATAGTAACTGAGACAAGGAAAAACAGAAAAAGATCTTGTACCTGCTGCTGCTTCACTCTTTTAAATGGCTGCAGCCGGGGCCTGGCACGGTGACCTAGTGGCTAAAGTCCTTGCCTTGAATGTGCCAGGATCCCATATGGTCACCGGTTCTAATCTAGGCAGCTCCACTTTCCATCCAGCTTCCTGCTTGTGGCCTTGGGAGGACAGCCCAAAGCCTTGGGACCCTGCACCTGCATGGGAGACCTGGAGGAAGTTCCTGGCTCCTGGCTTCAGA